TGGACTCAGTGGGCTTTGAGGTCCCTTCCGGTGCTGGGGCTAGGATCCTCTGACCCCTGAGATCTTTTCCAACTGGAAATCTTACGATGATGACTTTGTAGCTGTGCAGTGATGTTGTCTTCCACGCTTGGCTAAGCTGGGGACCACCATGAATCCCGTTCTGCCTCCTAGGAGCCTCCCTTTGGTGGTGAGGGGTAGAGAATTTGTTTTGTTTACTCGTTTAGCTCATTTTTCTCTACCCCTTTCCCCACCCCCAGTGGCTAACCTGTATTGGTTCCATTCGTCGCCTGGCCAGGTGAGCTCCCTTCACCTCGTGAGGGACGCTTGATGGCAGCGTGGGACGCTTGCAGAGGAGCAGCTGGCTTGACGAGAGCTTGTCCTTGATAAAGCCTCCCATTCAGAGCCAGCAGGAGTGGGGGAGAGGCTCCAGGGAGGGCGGTAGCTTCTGTTCTGGGAATCTTACCAAATTTAATAAGGAGTCACCACTAGCTCTAACACATTTTAAATTATCCAAGTGTGAGATCCTGACCTTTTTTTTTTTTTGATGACCTACTTACCGTGGTAGAAGGCAGCTTTGATGATAATGGTCTTTTTCTGAGTTGCCTGAAACTTTATTCCTAGTTTAGAAGCATGGGGAAAAAAATAGGTAACTGATTTTAACAATAACAACAACAGGAGGCCTTGCTAAAGGCTATACTCTTTCCCCTACTTCTTACCCTGTTAAAAAGTAATAGAAACTTCTACCCTGAGACACCTTTGTGTTGGGTAATCACTTTTGACAGATGAGGAAATTGAGGCACAGAGGTTAATTAACTTGCCCGGTGTTTACACCACTAGGGTCTGGGGCACAATTCAAACTTGAGCTTTCCTGAGTCCAATACCCTGTATGCTACAGCAAACTTCTTTTTAAAAGGCATGTAATTAACTAAGTCTTTTCTAATTTAGCACCTTCTTGTGAGCTTATGAAGTCAATAGCAGAGGAGGAGCTGAGGGATTCCTGTGGGGAAGGCACTGCTTCTCACATTTGCCTGGAATTCTCTCCCTCCTCTCTGCTGCCTGGCTTCCCAGGCTGCCTTCCAGGCCCGGCTCAAATCCCACCTTCTATAAGAAGCCTTTCTAATGCCTCCTTGAGGCTAGTGCCTTTCTTCTAGTAATTAGCTGATTTATCCTGTCCCCTTCCTTCCTTCCTTCCTTCCTTCCTTCCTTCCTTCCTTCCTTCCTTCCTTCCTTCCTTCCTTCCCTCCCTGTCTCCCTCCTTCCTTCCCTTTTTCCTGCCTTCCTATTCATTCTTTTTTTGTAAAGGCAATCAGGTTGTAAAGGCAACTTGTCCAGGGTTGCACAGCTAGTAAGTGTCTGAGGCCAGATTTGAACTCAGGTCAGCCATTTCCTGTACCTTGTTTGTACATAACTGTTAACATGTTGTCTCCCTTGTTAGATTGTGAGCTCTGTGAGGGCAGGGCCTTCTTTATATCTTAGCAGTTAGCACAGTGCTTGGCACGTGGTGCGCGCTTTATAAATATTTAATGTCTGATTGACTCAAATCTAGTCCTGGCCTCTGGGTTCCCATAAGGGGGAAACCACCCAGTAAATAGTAGATAAGTAAGAAGCTTTTGTGTCCTGGACTTTAGGTTTCTGCACCTTATGGAGGAAGGACATGATTGAAGGGGGAAGGCAGTTGTTAAACCCCCAACCTCATGTACATTTTGGACATCATTTGTTTTCTGGCTGAGTTTTTCTCTAGCCTGGTTTTTCTGCCCAACAGTGTTTCCTCATCTAGTCCCCATCTTCTCTCTATTCACTCCTGAATCTTCCGTCCAGTTTATTTCACTCCCAAGCGGTCATTTTCATGGCTTTTATGGCATCATCTTCTGTATTCTGAGCCTCGTTTCCTCCTCTTCTCTTAAAGAAGCGCAATAAAAAGTACTTGTGGATGACAAATGGGTTATGTGGCGAGAGTCATGGGAGAACTGAAGGAAGCCCCCTTCCTCGTCATCCTCAAGATTCCAGGAGAATGTGAGGAAGGCTCCTGGCAGACTGGTGAGCTTATGGAACAGCGTGGACTAAGAGACTCATAAGATGGCAGATGTGGAAGGAGAATCCAAATGGCTGAGATCACAGAACCATTGATTTAAGAGCCTGCTATGTGTCAGGCACTCTACTAGGGACTGGGAATACAATGTAAAAAAAAATGCCCTCAAAGAGCTTACTTAGATTCTTCAGGGAGAAAACAGCACATCTAGTTAAGAAAGCATAACATACATATGTATATATGTACATAGATAATATATAAATTTATTTTTTTATTTGAGGAAAAGGGGGAACTTACTGATCGCTGTTGGGGAGGGAGGTGGTATACCAGGTGGGAGTTGAGCTGAGCCTTTAAAGGGTCTTATTGTGTTAAGTCATTTTTCAGTCATGTCTGACTCTCTGTGACCCCATTTGGGGTTTTTTTGGCAAAGATACTGGAGTGGTTTGCCGTTTCCTTCTCTAGTTCATTTTACAGATGAGGGAACTGAGGCAAACAGGGTTAAGTGACTTGCCCAAGATCACACAGCTAGTAAGTGTCTAAAGCCAGATTTGAACTTGGGTCTTCCAGACTCTATTCACTGTGCCACCTAGTTAGGTGTTGGGGTGGGGGGCTACAGATGCCAAAAGATGGAATTGAGGGAGAGCAATCTAGGTTTATCATCTTCCCATCAGTTTCCCAGAAGTGGTTTCTACCCTCATGGTCCCTTTATTATCTTCTATTTCCATTGGCCAGAAAATCTTACTCCAGCCAAATTTGACAAGACATTCTTGAATTAAGCAGTGAAACTAGAAGGTGGTATCTTCCTTCTTTTAGTTAAGGCTTGTGTGGACTCTGAGAGAAGCCCCCCGAATTATGGAGGGGCGGGGGAAAATGTTGTGCTGATGCTAATTGGGTTTAGAGTCTCAGTGTTGCAGGCTCTTGGGTTTTTCTGTTTTTTGTTGTGTTGTTGGGAGGGATGTGGAGGGGATATATGCTCAAAGCTGTCCTATGGGAATGGCTTACATTATTTACTCATGGAGGTTAAACACACCAAGACCATCTGTTGTTAATTTTGTTGCTGCTTTAAATTCCATTCTTTGGCTGAGTTTTAAGCACTGAGAGCAAACTTAGACAGAAGCAGGGGCATTTTTGAGTCACAAACCATTGGGTCCAAATGGTGGTTTTCCTACGTGCCATTTTCCAGGGGACCGTCATTGGAGATTCCGAGTTGGCTTCTGATGGTGTGGGCCCGGAATTGGGTGCCTGTCCGCTTTACTCACTTTCTTCTGTATTTCCCTATGTAATTGTTACTCTGCTTAACAAGGGAGCTGCTGTTGATGCACCAATGGATGATTATTGGTGAATTGCTTTTAAGATGTTTGGACATGAGGTCCGATTTATGAAGCTCTTGTAAGTCTGGCTGAGTTATTAGACGTTATTAGAAGTGGAAATGTAAGAATGGAATTTGTTGAGTCCATACATAGGAGTTTCTTCCCTCCTGACCAGTCCAATCCAATTCAATAGAAATTCTCAAATGTCACTACTACTACTACTACTACTACTACTACTACTACTACTACTACTACTACTACTATAAAAATAAAAATGATGACGATGATGATAACTAACATTTAGCCAGGCTTTAAGGTCTGTGAAGTGTTTTCTATACATTATTTCCTCGTAGCTTTTATGAGGTAGGGAATTTGATCACCTCCATTTTACAGATAGGGAAACCAAAGCTGCAAAAGGTTACATGATTTGCCCAGGCGCTTATGCCTTGCTGGGTTTGGAGGAAGGACTAGAGCTCAGGTCTTGCTGACTCTTAAGCCTGCACCGCTCCATTCATTAAGCCACCTTGAAGGCAGTCAGAAAATGCCTTTCCCCAAGGAGCTGCTGTTCGACTGGGAAAGGATTTCACAGGCATCTGTCTACCCAAAGTCCCACACACTTGATCTCAGTTTTCTTTCCCTAGGCCCTCTGCCTAGATGGGTTTTAAAAGCCCAGACGTCAGGGTGGTTTGTAGTGAAATTTTCTGGGAAACCTGTTTCTCTGATCTTTGGATTGAGAGTACTCTTTTGTCAAGGGCAGAGATTTGCATCTTGTTTTTTCTATTCCCACTTATAGGTGTCTAATAAATGCATGTTGAGTGATTACGAGGATTCCCTGTATGGTTGGAGAATGCATCAGGGCATGGGACCAAGGCCTAGCAGACCCCTTTGTAATTGGGAATCTAAGGGAGTTGACCAGCGGGCTCTCCAGAGACCTAGGAGAGAAAGCTTTTCCCAAGCCTTTGGAATTCCTTTTGGCACAGTGTATTTGAGAATTGGCATTTCTTCTCCTTTCATTCCTTCGGAAGTCTGAAAGCTTCCTTTTTGAAAATCCTCTTTGGTAGGTGGTGGTTTCTCTGGCATAATTCCTGACTCAAACTCTGTGAAAAGATGAACGCTCAGGGTGGCGGCTACTTGGGCAGTGCAGAGATGGGCTTCAGGCTCTGCTGGTGCTTTGCTTGGCCTTGGCTGTCTGTCCTCAGAAGCTCAATCTGACCTTCAGTATGCATTTAATCCCTAAAATGTGCTCGCTATCAGGGCTAAAGTGAGAAAAGTGAATCATTTGCTTGTGTGCGCCTTCACTAAGCTTACATTGAACGCATGAATAAATGATTGAGAAAGAATTTCATACGTGCTGACTGTGGGCCAGGCAGTATGTGTATTTTATCATGAGAGACATGTACACACACATGTATATGCATATACATAGCCACACATGCAGAATATATAGAATTATTTTTCTGGGAGGTGGAATCAGGCAAGATCTCATGAAGAAGTTGTGATACGGAGAATGGGGAATATGGGAACCGGAGGTCAGCATGGAGGACAGCCTGGTTAATGGCCCAGGGGCTGAAGAAGGCGTGGACAAAGAAGGCCAGTTTGGCAGCACCAGAGGGAGTCGGTGCATCTAGGAGATTAAATTATAACCGGGCTGAAAAGGTCAGTTGGATTCAGATTGGGAAGGTCTTGGAATGCCCAGATCCACCAACTGCCTTTCTTTAGGGGGACAAAGGCAAGAGCTGTGGTGCCAGGCCTTCTCAACTGTTATCCCTGTAGGAAGGAGGGAGGACGTGGCGCCCCAGGAGATATATTGCCAGCTAAAACACAATAGCCCACGAATCGTGAAAGACGTGGCATGAGCCATTCAGGGAGACAGATTTACTTCTGATCCTCCCTTGCGACCATATATCCATCTGCTTGGAGAGAAACAGCCTGCCCACTGGATTACATTTCAGCAAGGGGCCCCAGCAAGAGGCTGGCGTCCTGTACTTCCCGTTCCGTGGACTGAGGGTGCGTGCATTCATTGGCAGGTGGTGGGCATGAATGTTCACTTGGCGAGGGACAGGTCTTTCCTTGGGTTTTCAGAGCCAGGGGAGGGAGGAAGTCAGGAAAAAGTTGACAAGGGGGTGTGTGTGTGTGTGTGTCCTCAGCTGAAATGATGGATATAGTTTTGGTAGGCTCTATCTGACTGCCTACAGTATCTGTGTGTAAGAAGAAACACATTGTCATGTTTGTTTTTACAGAAGGAGAAACAGAAGGTGTGATCCAAGAAAATGAGCTTACCTGATCTACTGTTCTGTCTAATGCTGCTTACTAGAAATATTATCAAAATTGACATCCAGCAGTATTTCTTCTGGTTTCCCCAGACTGAATGTAAGCTCCTTGAGGGCAGACTTCCATTTTTTGTTTTGTATTGTTAGCACTGTGCCTGGCACATGGAGGGGGGTTATTGATGGGTCCATGCAGGCATTTCAAAGGCAGCGTTCTTCTGGAGGCTTTAGCTGTCCTCTGCACTGTGAGGGCTTTCCATTCTAAGCCTACTGTAATCATGCTCTACCTTGTTTATACCTTCTTGTGTCCATACTAGCCCTTGCTTTGGAATGTAACATCCCTGAGTGCAGGGAACTTTTTTGCTTTCTCTCTAGCCTAGCCCAGTGCCTGGCACACACTCTAAGCATTTGGTTAATTATTAGCAATGAGACTTTTCACTTCTGGATTTTAAATCTCTCATCTGTAAAATTGGATTTGGGAGGGTAATTGAGCTAGGCATTCTGTGGACACTTGCTGTGGTTTTAGACCTTATATCATCCAGGTTGGAGAACGTGTCTTTGATAGTAAAAATCTAATAATGAATGCCGGTTGATCGAATTGAATCAATCAGCAAACAGCTATCTGATTCAAATGTACATTAAGTTTTCTGGCTCAAATAGAGTCTCATTTCATCACGTGCCAGGAGTTCCTGGCGATATAAAGAAAGATGGTGAGTTTATATGATGATGATGACGATGATAGCTAGCATTGATTATTATTATTATTGATTATGATGATGATGAGTTTTTAACTTTACCAGAGTGCTTTTCACACTTTATCTCATTTGTTCAATAGGGGAGATGACATGTGCACAAATAAATACAAAATACTAATAACATACGAACATCCCCAAATGGAGTGGGCTGCCTTGGGGGTGAGGGAAGCCATTCTTCACTCCCTGGAGAGGCTGACCACTTTAGAGAGTATTCCAGAGGCACTCCCTGATGAGTTGGACTGCATAGTCCTTAAGGTTAATTAATCAATCCATAAGCATTTATCCAGAGTCTGATGCGTGCCTGGCACTGTGCTAAGACAAAAGTGAAGCCATCCCCATGACTGGACCAAGACCCCGTTTTCTTCACTTGATGGTCTTCAGCACTTTTCAAGAGTGCACGAAGATCACTCGATTATTAGCTCTGTTTCGTTTTATGGGCATCATCCTGATTTTCTATTCCCCCCCACCTTTTTTCCCCTCCCTTCTCTTTGTGCTGGGAAAAAGGCATGTAAATATATGATTTACTCTCCGAGTGAAGCAGGCCTGGGCCATTTCAAAGAACAACTAATGGGAATTTTCTAAGCACTGTAATATGCAAAATAGATTTTCAGAGCTGCCCTTTGGGACAATCAATACACATTCAGTCCAGCAGCCAGAGTCATTAGCAGACAAGAAGTTTGCTATCTGATTCAAATTTACATTGGTTTTTTCAGCTCGAATAGAGCCTCATTTCATCCCTCCCTCCCCCTCCCAATTAATAAATGTTAGGGGAGGAGTCATCACTGCTGAATGCACCCCCTTCTTTGGCCCTCTGTGCCCTTGTCCGTGCCCTGGAGAGTCCCAGTCTGAAAGCTGAATTGATGGAGAGGCTGGGTCAGGACAGTGGGCGGGCAGCTCCTGTCTGCATCTGGGCTCTTCAGTTGAGCCCCATCAGCACTGACTCATCATGTTAGCTAGTCCTTAGTAGGCACCCACATCTGGCTATTGTTTTATCTTATGCAGTTGAGCATCCGATTACCTGTTTTCTTCCAGTCTCCAGTCCGTGGCCCTGGCTCTAGCTTGCCCCTAGAATGCGTGCCTTCCTTTTCTCTTCATTTTAGAGTCTTCAGCTTCCTTCAAGCCTTAGCTAAGACACCACCTCCTATGGGGAACTGTACCATACACTGCCCCTCCTCCCTGGCTCCTTCCTGCTAAGTACTTGGATATGTTTTCTATTTCCTTATTTGTGTATACTTTGTTTCCTCCACAGGAGAATGAAAGCCCCCCAAGGGCTGAGACTGTTTCCTTTTGATTTTTGTATTCCTGGTAATCAGTCTTTCATAAAGCCTGGCCAAATTGAATCATTGAATTGAGTGGGCAGGAACGTGCCTTTCTTTCACTCCTGCTGAGGACAGGAAAAGATTAAAATGCCCTTCCATTTCAAGAAGGAAGATATCAGTTGGACTTCCTCCTGGACAGATATTTGTTGAGTGGTCTCCATCTGGGTTTTGAGATTCCAAGGATTGCCAGATCAGGAAGCCTATGGGATTTTCTTTCTGGTGTTGAGTGGTCTGGCATCCATAGGCTTCCAGACTTGGAGATTGGAGTCATTTGAGAGGTTGACTTGTGCAGCTTGGCATCGTTTGGTAGGTGAGGAGATGAGGCCAAGAGGGTCCACGTGGCTCATCTAAGACCACCCCGGTTATAAGTGACAAAGGCAGGATTTGAATCCATTTAGATGGACTCCAAATCCAGGGTGGTATGTGCTGCCCTGGTAACGCCAGGTGTCTCCTGGACTTCTGGAGGTGGACGTCGGGGCTGGAGGAATACCTTTCAGTGCTCATGAGCTAGGCTCTGGTTTAGCCTAGTGGAAGCCTGCTTGTCCCTCTGCGCCTTACTTTCATCATCGGTGAAATGTGGAGATCGGCACACTTAGGATGCTAAGTCAAGAAAAAGGCCCCTGTGTCGTAATGGAAACCAGGGTTTGAGGAAGATTGCTTGGACAGCTGTGTAGTGGATCCTTGGGAGTGGGAGAGGCTGGAGACTGAGAAGAGCTAGCAGGCTGTTTGAGGCTCCTCTGGGTCGGAGGTTCCCGATCCCTGGGGGGTGGGTTGCAGTTATTGTGGGGGGGGGTTCATCTCTTAAATGACTCAGTATAGTACAGAAACAAATGTATCTCTGGTAGACTGAATAAATCCGCATCATGACGAGCAGAAGACCTGCGTTCAGATTCTTGATATTGCTGTTTATAGCTCATGTGCCTTTCGATTAGTTCAATCTTACTGGGTTTCAGTTTTCTCATCTGTAAAATGGACTAGAGGTTAGACGCTGCACACCCCTAAGATCCTTTTGGCCCTCTCTCTGGTCCTGTGATGTCTCTGCATCTCGCCTTCCCCATCTGTTTGCAGTGATGCCCCGAGGGCTTCCTGTAAATATTAATAGAGACTGACATTTATCTATGGCTCATAGCAGCTCGGTGAGGTAGGGAATACAAGTATTGTTATCGTCCGCCCATAGATGAGTTAACTGGGGGTCAGAGAGATTATTAAGTGGCTTACTGCTTCCCGGTAAATGAGTGTTGGGGGGGGTATGGGGGGGTGGAATTTGAACTCACCTCTTCCTGACTCTAGATCTAGGCCTTGTTCTCTGCTACGCCTCCTCTTCCAGTGCAAAATCCATGACATTTTAACAAATTTTCTTTTTTTGTCATAGACTTAACAATAATCAGCAAACAGAAATGTTTCAATATACAGGTATCCTAAAAGTCAAAACTGTTAAAGCTTAAATATATATTATAAAATATAATAATATAATATTAAAATGTATAATTATGTTTGATTTTATATTATAGATAACAAGTATAGCATATGATATAGTATACATTTTAAACTATTAAAAGATGAAAACCTTCCTTGTAGAATGCTTTGTACAAAGGAAGATGAGAGAGGACTGTATTTATAAAGCTGAACTTTTCTTATTTAAGGTTTTTTTGGGTCCAAAATCTCTTTTATTTTTACATTACCATTGTTTTCCCTAATCATCTCTCTTCCCCCCTCTCAGAATACCGTTCATTATAACCACGGGAAAAAAAAGAGAAGAAATAAAAGAATTAAGCAAGTCTTAACCACTATATCAACTGAATTCAACATCCTAACACATTATTTCTTAATTGTATGCAAATGTTGCGATTAACAAAATGCAAATTCATTTAAAAGTATTCTAGAGTTGTACGTATAAGAGCTTTACGTGGTCATATATTTTCTCAATCAGTAGATACCATGGGTAGCTGAGTCCCGTGTTAGGGGATCTAGGAGAAACTGACAGCTAGAAGGGGTTACTCATAGAACCGCCCTTCTGAGAGTTAGCTGAGTGTCTTTGACCTTGGGGAGTTCTCTAACCATCCTGGGCCTCAGTTTCTTCATATGTAAAAGGAAGGCCCGTGGTCCCTTCTAGCTTCGATCCCTGACCTTGGGAAGGTTAGCCTTGCCCCGAGGCAGGGGGATGGTCTCAGTAACCTTGAGGTCACTATAAGTTTGAGGAATCAGACTGGAGGCTGAGTCTCCCCCTACCCCCCAACCCCCGCCTCAGTCAGTCAAGCATTTATTAAGCACCATCTATATGCCAGGCACCATGCTAAATGCCAGATACAGATCTGGCTCAGTTCTGTGACTGGAAAATTGATAGATTGGGGCTCCATTTTATAAAAAATATTGCTAATGCTCTTTTTGCACTGTCTGGCTATTTATGTTTTTTTTTTTAAATGAATGATTAATTAGAAAAATAATCATTTGTAAATTGCGAGTGAAGCAGACATTCATCCTTGCCTGTAGGGAGCCAGGAGTCTCTGACCTTGGGTGTAGTTCAGAGCCGGCCGGCCGGCCAGCGGAGGAGTATTCCCAGACTAGGGCTAGATTTACATGAAACTCCCTTTCAGCATCCTAATGATGGTTAGAGCTAAGTAACCAGGGCAAAATATGAACAAATGGGCAGAGTAAATATTTAATGCCTCCGCATCATTTTTAGCTTATTACAAGCATAGCCCTGATTGGGGAGGATGGGGGAGGGAGTTTCTGGACTGCAGAGGAGATGTCACCTTGTATCAGCTTCATATTGAAAAGAAAAATCCTTTCTGTCTCCAGACTTGGCTGAAAGAAATGAAGAGAAGATAGAGTGGGGTGCAGTGGCTTTGGAGTCAGAGGGGTCCTGGGTTCAGATCCAGCCTCTGCCGTTTCTTGTTGGGTGTCCTTAACCTCTGTGGACCTCTTTTCTCATCTGTGAAATGGGGACCATTTTTGACACAAGGACAGAATAAGTCAGGACAGTCGAAAAGTACAGGCTGTCGATCATTGCTTATGTGTTTATGGTCAGTAGGACCACTTGGCCTAAGTGACTCCATACTAGGAGCCTGTCATTTATAATGGTAACATCACACAATGTATTTAAAAAAAAATCACAATTATCGTGGGAGACAATGTGTCCATGCATAAGTCTGTGTGAAATCAGCATAAGATTATGTTTTGGAGGAAGGCATTAGCATCCCTGGGGAATCAGGGGAGGCTTCATGTAAGAGGTGGCCTTTGGGTTGAGCTTTGAGGGCATTCAGGGAGGTGGTGTGGAGAAGGGAGTGCATCCCAGGCATGAGGTACAGTCTAGACAAAGGTTTGGAGGTGGGAGATGGAGTAATATATGGAAAGAATAGTAAGAAGACCAAAATCTGGAAAGAGGTGCATAGAGGTTACCTGGTCCAGACTCTTCACTGTACAGATGAAGATGCTAAGATCCAGGGAGGCTGAGGGATGCAGGTAATAAAGCGGCAGAGCTGGATTTGAACTCGGTTCCTCTGCCTCCAGGTCCAGCCCACTTTCCTGGGCACACCGTTGGTTCCTTGCATGGATCGCGGTGTTCCTTTTTCTCTGCCCCTTATTCCAGGCCCCACGCGATCCTGCCTTTTCCATGAAAGCCTTCCCTGCCCATCTGAGTTGAGAGTCAGCTCTCATTCTGAAAGACTTTACAAAAGAAAGGAAATTAAAAAAAAAATAGGCAGAGTGCTCCCTGCAAGGAGGAGCACCAGCCTGATTTATCACACTTTACTTTTCCTGTCTCCTACCTCCTTCAGAGACAGCTCTTGGCTTTGGAAGGGGAAACCTGCCTTGTTACCACATCTCTCCAGGGTAGAGGTTTATGACTCGACCAGAGTGAGTCACGATGCCCGGGTGGGAAGAGTGTCTTGGCAGCAGGGCTGGGGTTGGCAGGAGCACGTCTGGGTGGCTGCCAGGGAGCCAGGGAGAAGAACAGCTCTAGTGGAGGACAGGTGAGCTCCCCTGCTCAGGCTTGTGCTTTGGCCTCTGGGTACCTACCTTCTGGTGCCTTGGCCAACTGTGTTTATAGTGGAGCCCTGATGGCAAGAGCCTGGTGGTGGGAAAAGCTCAGGCTCCCAGCCTGTGGCTCAGGTGAATTGAGCAAGAGTTCTGAGGGTGAATTAGGCAGCTCTCCCACTCCCAGAATGAGAGAATTTCAGATTTAGAAGGGGCTGTAGAGACTTGACTGAGAATATCTCCTGTGACACACTAGACAAAATGCTTATCTTATCTCTGCTGGATGTGTGTGTGTGTGTGTGTGTGTGTGTGTGTGTGTGTGTGTGTGTGTGTGTGTGTGTGTGTGCGCGCGCGTGCATGAGTGAACAAGGTGAACAGAATGGACCCCCTATGGCTAATAAGTCGGCAAGTGTTAAACACCCACTATATGTGAAGCCCACTGGGGATGCATGTACAAAAGAAGAAAAAAAATCTGAGCTTTCAAGCAGCTTATATGTTAATGGGTGAGAGTTTCTCTCTCTCTCTCTCTCTCTCTCTCTCTCTCTCTCTCTCTCTCTCTCTCTCTCTCTCTCTCTTTCTCTCTCTCTCCCCCTTTCTTCTTTTCCTCTTCCTCCCTCCCTCCTCTTTCTCTTTCTCTCTCCTTCCTCCTTCACTCTCCCTGTCTTCCTATCTTCCTTTCCCCTTCTCTCCTTCCTCCATCTCTTTCTGTATTTTCTCTTTTCCTTTCCCCTCTCTTCTTCTCTCCCTTTCTTTTCCATTGCTCCCTTTCTCCCCTTCCTTTTTCTCTTTCTGTCTTTCTTTCCTCCTTTTTCCTCTCTCCCTCCCTCTCTGTCTCTCCTCCTTACACATGTATGTATGTGTATGTATATGTGTGTGTGTGTATGGACACATACATATCTATACATAAATGTGTATGCAGACCATGCAAGCACACACAGAACAAATATAAAGCAAATAAACACAAATGCACTCAGAGTTGAGAGGGAAGACTTTAGCACTTAGGGGGATCAGGAGAGGCTCCAAGCAGAAGGTGATGATTGAGCTGCATTCTCAAGAATGAGAGGGAGACACTGAGGGGGAAAGAAGGAAGGTTAAGAGCCCTGAATGAAGTGACACAGCCTGGAGATGGAGCGTGAAGGAGTAGAGACAAGGCCAGTCTGGAAGAATCCCAGAACGCAGGGGTGGGGTGGGGAGTCATGTCCTGGAGGCCGGAAAGGTAACCAAGGGCCGGGTTGTATAGGAATTTTAAAAGCTATGCAGAGGAGATAAAATGTTAGCCATGGCTCTGCTTGTCTCAGTAGTGAGCCTCTGTTCCCCTCTTTCACCAAACAACCACTGAAATTTTACATGGAAACCCATACCACCCAGAATGGTACCAGTAGGGGTCAGTGGAAGGAAATACCAACCTGTTGTGGGCCTAGACTGTCCTCCTTGGTCCTTGTATCCCCAGGGCCTAACTCAATGTCCCACCCCTCCCAGTGGCTTAATCCATGCTCATTGACTGAGAAGTTGCTTGAAAGGTTGAGACAGACTTTTTGGGACAACACTCCTCTTCCTTTTCTACCACCCAGTTTCTTCCCTGCCCGATGTCATCAGTGGGTTCCAATACTGCTTCTTTCCCATCTCCTGAAGCTGTAGAGGTGCCTGATCCCCTCTGCCAGCACGGGGCTTATCCTGCTCAAATGAAATATCATGTCTCTTTCTTTCTTTTGGGAAAAAAAAAAACACAAAACAACAAAACAAAATAACACCACCACCACCAAAGGGGTATCAGGCCATAGAATGGACTATTTATGTGTCAAATTAAGCGTTTTACACTGAGGCTGTTTTTGAGTTATGTGAGCAGTAAAAATATGTATTAAGCTGCCAAGCCTTTTAAAAAATGCATATTATTTAGCGGA